GAAACAATGGGGCCAGGTGCCTTTTTCCCAAGTCACGAAGTAAACTTTTGGGGGAAGATTCTGTACAGTTGATTTTACATATAACATAAATTTTAGAAGAGTCCAGAGAAAATATCTGATGCCTGGAAGAGCTGCAACATATTCCACACTTCAGCAGGAACAAACAGAATGACAGATGGTGGCCTAATATGATAGCAATCTCAGGCAAAATAGTGGAAAATCAAATAATCAATTGTAGGAGATTCAGCCGACAGAAAAAGAGCCATCTTGCATCTACCATGGCAACACATCTGCCACTACTGTTCTTTATTCTGCCCAAATGTTTAGTGACATTTTTTTCTCTGCAGACAAGAAGAAGATACAGTTAATCTCAAAGGTTAGGGTCTCTGTGGCCTTCCCCCAGCTTTCTGTATTCTCTGTGCTCCTTGCTCTCCTTTTATTTTCCAGAGTTGATGCCTCTTAGTTGTAGCTGGAGAAACAGCTTATGCATTGAATTTAGAAAATAAGTTTTGCCAGACAGTGGGTTTAATTACTGAGTGGCAGAATGTAAAGGAAACTGGCTTGAAGTCTTGAATGGTGATAGTAAAATGTGCTTGACTGTTTTTTACAGTCACAATTGAAAGATGAGCACTCCAAAATACCTTCAAAGCACATGAACTGGCTAATGTGTTGGAATGTTTCTTATAAGATAATAGTGAAAAATATTGCCCGAAATCTGAAAAACTGTTATCAGCTATAGTTTCTAGAGCTCCAGTGCACAGGGGCTTGCTCATAAACTAAGCAATGAGCTAAAAAATGAAAAAAAATGAACATGTATTACTCAGAAAGCTTGCATAGACTGTAAACAAGGTACAGTGCACTTGAGAAATCAGCAGAGAGCAGATATGCACAGCATAATCCTCATTGAGGTAATCCCCAAGCTGAGAAAATTCAATTGTAGAAGAAGAAACATTCATTTGACCTAAAAAATACAGACTGTAGCAACTTTGCCTATGCAGTGTGAGCTCTGTTGCACCCAGGGCTCTGGATGACTTTTAAAGACTGATCACACTGATGCACATAAGGAAGGGAGAGCATGTTGAATACTTAGAGGGCTGAGTGTGTGTATATATATATGTGTATATATATATATGCAAAAAGAATGACTGTTCACAGTACTTGGTTAAACATCATGAGTTAGTTTCTTAGCTTTTGAGAGAGAACTGTTTCTTAAAATGGGAAGTTTTGAGATACAGAGAAGTATGACATGAGTGTGTCACAGCATGAGTCAGACATTGAGCAGAAAATGGACTAGCAAGGGTTTCAAACTATAAATTTGGTTTAAAAAACAGAGGGAATAAATAGAAAATAGAGTTACATGGATAGGACTCAGGGAGACTGCATGGCTTACCAAATTCAACATACCACAATTTAACCAAATAGCCATGGCACAGAGGTGTCCCTGGACTCTTCTAAAGGGCTTTGGTAACCCAGTCTGGAAGGGATGGCTGGAGGTACCCAGTGCCACTGCCTGCTCAAAACAGCAGTAGCAAGGTCAGAACGTGTGACTTGGGGCTTTCTGTAGACCAATTTTGAAAAGCTCCAAGAACACTGACTCCACGCACTGCCTCTCTTGCTCTACACTGGACAGCCCAAACAGGGGAAAAAAAGGTTTCCCTTTTTGTATAATGTGGGCTCCTCCTGTTTCAACTTGGGCCCACACTCTCTCATCCTGCTCCCTTGTGTTGTGGGAAGCGTGGCTCCATTTCCTCAGTGACCTGTCCATAGGCAGAAGGCTGCTCTGAGGTGCCTACTCTTCTCCAGGCAGAAGCAGTCCTGTCTGCCAGGCTCCCCTTGCAGGGCAGGTGCTCCAGCCCCTGAACATCCCGGTGGCTCTCTGCTGGACTCACTTCATCCACCTCTTCTTCAGGTTTTGTTATTCCATAAGGGGCACAAAGGTGCTACCATTAATTTCCAAGCAGAGATTTGTAATTCAAAGCAGACTACTGTTGATCTGAGGCTGTCAGAAGAGAGACATTGTGTTCGTTGCTTATACAAATGTGTAACAGCTCCATTTGTCAAGCAGTACCAGTGAGGGGATCAGCATTCCCATTTCAGGATACTGGCAATGGTTGGTCTCGGTATCTTGAAAAAGACCCTTTCAATAATGAAAAAAGTCAGGCTGTTACTGACTAGGGATTGAGACAATTTTGGCAGGATTTGATTCTCACTGCATCTTCTGGACTATGACATAAACTCATCAGACTTTCACAGAGGAAGGAGTAGGACCTGTTTTCTGATTTGGGAAGCTGATGAGTTAACCTTGGCCAAGTACTGCTGGGGAGAAAAAAACCCCAACAAAACAAAACAAACAGAACCAAAAACAACCAACAGCAACAAAACCCCACCCTATCTGTGAATATTTGGTTAAGACAGTACAATAATTTAACATGATCACAATAGGGTCTCTTTGTATTTGTTTCTGTGAATTTTCTGTTCAAATAATTTACTCTATGATCTGACATGGAAAGCACTAATGTTAAGTTGCTTGGAGTTCCAAAACCTTTGGCCTGGCAACTTACATTGAAATGGCATGCAACATATGCATTAAATTAAAACAACTCAAGATAATTATTTTTGAAGACTAGCTACTCTTCAAGATAGTTATTAAAAAAATACTTTTAATAGTAGGAATAGAAATTTAGTGAAGAGGAATTTAATAGTAGATAGTAAATCAAATATAACTAACTCCATTTCTGGACACCAGAAAGTGAAAATATTTATTGTTCAGAATATATGTCATCTTCTCCAAGTCACATATGTAAACCTCTCACTCTGAAATATCAGTTTCCTCCTTTACCTCTTTTTTTTTTTTTATTTGAACCAAAACACTGGGCCTGATGTAAGTTGGTTCTTAGAAATTTGCTTCAGATTAAAATCATTAATAATTGTCACGATCTTTTATTTTTGAAATGCTGGAAACAACAGAAACATCACAATAGAGATGTTAAGTTCCCAGAATACATTTTCTTAAATGAGAATCAGTTTCATCTGGAATGAATAAACCCATGATAGATGCAGTGCACATTGTGCTCAGAAAAAGCAGTTCTCTTCCACTTTGAAAGGGGCTTTATTAACTAATTACACAGTAATAATCAGAACATGCTGATCCCAGGGATTAATGACCAGAAGGGTGTGATTGCATCTGTACACACCTTGAACCAGCAAGCCCTAGTTATTCATCCTCAGGAAATTGCATTATTCTTATTGGCATATTAAACTGCATATGAGAGCAGAGCCTGCAGGTGTATGAGAGCTTAATTCTTCTGGCCACTGTAGAAATAACTGTGTGTATAGCAAAGGGAATGAATATCATGTATGCCAAATTAATTGGGAATAATCCCTGAACATACTAGTTACTTGATAATCACAACAGATTTTTCAGTAGTAATGTGACTGATTTCATTTCACTCCACTATACTTACTACTGGTATCCATGTCTTCACATTGCAGCAATTTGACTTTTTTTTTTTTTTTTTTTTTTTTAATTAACAGTGGTATATATGAAATCTGAAAAATTTGTTGCTTACTGATTTCAAAATAGTAATAGCAGTCATTCCCAAGATTACAAAAAATTTGAAGAAGGGAAGAGAAAGAAAGGAATGAGTTGAATTTTTCCTGCTGCCAGCAGGGCTTGCTTTCACACAGAGGAGTGTCTCCCATTAATTAACAGCAGTGAGAACCACAACCTCAAAGTTCCAGGAGAGCTGTGGAATAGCAAGTCCTTGCAGACAACAGCCTCTTTCTTGGGTAGACAGCCGTTAGGAAAAAGCACAGCCTTTTTCCTGCTGAATATGTTCTTCCTTCAACATCATTTTCCACAACATAAAATATAATAGCACTGCTTTATTACATCTCAGCTAGACTAAGTAATTTCTTACAACATGGTTTACCAAGACAAAATGAAAGGAGTCAAACATTCTACCCAGACTTGAGACATATTGCTAGTGCTACAGAACTAATGGCTTAAAACTAGAACTAATGGCTTTGTGACAATCAGCTTTAGCAGGTGGTTTCTGCAGCTCAGGAGGTTACTGGAGGTTTAACCAAGGCAGGTTTGGTCACATTTGCAAGCACAGTGTGGCATCGTGGTGGTAACTTTCTAGAAAAGCACAAGTGGGACATGTGCTCTGGACTTGTGCCATTTTGTAGAACCAACAGTGTTATAATTTAAGCGAGAAACAGTATCAAAGCATCAAACGTATCTTCTAAAGAAAGGTAAGGTGAGAGAAAAAAAAAAAACGGGGAAAGCTGATACTCTCTGATCCAGTGTAGAAATATGAGAATGAACAATTTTATAGTGACTTTCACCCAAAGTGCTCCAAGGCATTAAACATGTCTTGAATTCTTTATTTGTCCGCCATTTGTAATTTTAGAAAACAATCTTTGATATTCATGCATTCAGTTTGATTTTATCTGAGTAGGACTATAGATTCAAAAGCAAATAGTATTTTTCTCATCCTCATGTTATCTTGGTTTCTAACAATCATCTGTTGACATAATTTAATTTTGTCTGGATAAAAGGCAAAAGCAATATTTCAAGCTATCATTTTACAAATGACATAGCAAGGTCCAGAAAGATTTAAGAAATGGACAAGAGGAGCCTAGACATAAAGCCTGGGGACAACACCTTAATCACAAATCTGCTTCCTACTTGCCTGGTCCATTTCTTTGCCCTATTGCAGGGTGTGAATATATATATATGTGTGTATATATATATACATATGGAGTTAGATGTCTTCTTTGGGGGGGGGAGGGTGGTGGTTGGTGGTTTTGGTTTTTTTAGCATGTGTTAGAATCATAGAAGGGGTTGGGTTAGGTTGGAAGAGACCTTAGGGGTCATGTAGTTCCAACCCCTCTGCCATGGTATTTGCTTTAGTACCAATCCCTGGTCTTAAAGAAGAATGTGCTATACAATTCAGTCAGGCTCATGCTCAGCCCACTCTCCCCTCTTCCTACAGGGATACTCAACTGAAGATGCCCTCTGTGTCTCCAGTGACCAAGAACCTGTCCTGGAAGTGTTATCTTCCCTGAAGCATGGAGTTTTCGGAATGACAGAGTAGCAGAGAACTTATGATTATTCTGGCAGTGACTCTGTCGATGAGGAGGAGGATTTTGAACTCTGTTCTAAAACTGAGGAGGATGAAACATGGTTAGCAAAGCACAGTTGTGAATTACTCACATTGACCAGCATTGTTTTTGAGGCATGTTAGCTGCATGCTGTACAATCATAGGCTTCCTTATATTAAGACAGAGGAATAAAGAGTTGTTAAAGAGTTGTAAGTCTCTATACTAAACGTGACAGAAATATGGATCAGTAGAGATGTTTCTTTGCTTGGGAAAAAAAAGTTTCTGGACTACCTGAAAACTTTCTGACCCAACACAAAACAAACATATACATAATGTGTATATGCTATACTGTACTTTGCTTACTTGCTTTGAGCTGCTTAAAATACTGGTCAGACTAAAAGGTGAAGTTGAATCTTAAAGTGTTTCCTAATACTGATACAACATCATTAATGCTCATGGTATGTCTTGTCTGGGTAAAACCTCCATCAACTCCTCTCTGCCCTTCAGTTTAGATTTTCCAAGCATTGGGGTTTTTGCAAAAAGGAAAGTAAGGAAAACTGTTGTATACTCTACAGAGGTATGATATTTCATAAGAAGTATTTCACAAGCTCCCTGAGGATGCACAATGGGAGGGAGGGAACAAAGGGGGAGAAGTAGAACTTGAGTAACTCACTAATATACAGACCTACACAGACAAAAGTGTCTGCCTAACCAGGACCCAAAAAGTTTTATCTCTGTGTGTGGAGGTTCACAAGTCCTCATATAAGATCTTTAACACTCCTTGATGTCAAAGTTATGTATAATATCCATTTGCAGATGGTGGGTCAGGCACAGTTTCCACAGAGGTGCAGGTGCTCTTGTTCTCCCAGGCCACATGGCCTCCATGCTATGGACAGACAGAGATTCAGCAGAACACAGTCTTCTGCGTTTCTGTTGGAGAGGGTAGACATAAGTTTCAGTAAGTCCATTTCTTGGGTTTTCTTATCTCTAAGTAAAAATCACTCTAATTTTATTCAGAAACAAGAAGAGAACCCCTGAAAGCATAACGGACCCGCAGGACTGATTACCTGTGTGCCACACAGAGCTGTTAGAGTAGTTAGGATTTGACTGGTACAGTTGTGCCTGGGAGAGAGATTACTTGCATACCTGTTGCAATGGCAACACAGAAAGACATCAAGAGTTTTCAGCTGTGCTTACTTTGAGTCAGAATGAGTTTTCTGCAGGGATGGTGATGTCTCATAGATTTTCTTACCTACTTTTAATATATTTATCACAAAACAAATGAAGAAATGTTGGCTGTTGAAGACATGCAGCTAGGTTTGATCTGACATGATCAGACTTTGTAGTATTTCATCAGTGGTAGTGAATTTTCTTCTGTGTTGTTTGAAAATGCTCAGATGATGTTTTTCCTACAATATACTGTCTCAAGATTTTCAAATAAAAGGTCAGTTATCTGAAATGTCCTTTGCTAGGTTTAATCCTCAGTCAAAAATAAGGACCAAACGTCTAATTGTGGCTAGATAGTCTTAGAATAACATATAAATTATATCATTTAAAAACTACTACGTATTTTTGGGTTGGATAAAGAGGTATGGGGCTTCCCAGAAGAGCTCAGAAGGTGAGCTCAGAAGCTCTACAGAGGGTTCCTTTTGCCACCTGCTGAAATATAACCATTGGTGAAGTCAAACCATCTCTGTCACAGACTAGGAGTAACAAGAATGGATGGCAAACATCACCTTGGAGATATGAGGACACAAAGTCTGGCAGGTGAGGATGCTGACAGCTGGAACAAAGCACCAAGAGACAATGACATTCGGTTGTCACTTGGTCTCTCTAAATCAAGACTGGGTATTTTTCTGGAAGATAAATCACACGTAGATCAATGAGCCAGGGTGAAGTTTTATAGCATGTCAGTATGGGTCAGACTCAATAACTAGAGCCAACTTCCAGCCTTGATAACCATTAGTCAACCAACCAGAGCAGTGAATGAAGTGAATGCATTCAGGTAGGAACCGAGGTAGGCAGGGGATATAAACTCCTGACCTTCCAGTGGGCAAATCACTGCCCATTAAAAAAATAGAGCCACAACATATGATATAGGAAGGTACAAAGGGTCCTGATTTCACTCCAGTATGGTGAGGCTTTTTTCTTTAGGAAACTGTGTTTTTCTCCATGCTTTTTATTTGTTTGTTTTATTATTAGGCAAAGGATAAGAACAGTATAAAACTTTCTTTTGTAGTTCATGGTTTTATATCCTACATCTGAAAATGAAACGTAGCATGAAATTTACTTTTTGTAGTAATGTGAAATTGGATCAAGTAAAAGCAAATTCTGTGCTCTTAGGGAGAAGAGCCTCTAAAAAAAGGCTGAAAGGACCTCCATTCAATTTAAAAAAAACCACCATCAGATTTGTACTTTGTCTCACAGTGATTTTATTACCATCTGATATATGGCTGATATTGAATTACAGATGTATCACCATATCAAGCAACAAAATTATGAGATTCTGCTTTTGCTGTAATGTATTGTTCAAATTCTTTCTCTCTCTGACTCAATAAAAAGCATCAGGCTCTACACAGATGTGGGTAAAAGAACTTCCACCATAAAACATTGACTCTGTTTGCAGCAACTAGGGAAATAGCTTTTATTTTAATAACAGTGATTCATGCTAATTAAAAAATCCTCAAGAAATATGGGCCTGGAATGCTTGGAGTTTTTTTTTAATTAATTATTCTTCCATTTGATTGTGACAGTACAGTTCAGAAATCTCTGGAAAAAATATCATATTATGACTATTAATTCACTCTCAGGCTGGCAGAACAGATCAGCTGCCTGGGAAGTTGCAGCAAAGTAGGGAGGAAGCCTCATAGCCTCTTACACGGTGGCTTCCCTGCGCGCTGGGTCCTGCTGTGCGAGCTGGGTGACAAGAACAGGAGCTGTCACAGCACTGCCCAGCTCCCCCCACACAGCCCCCCGCAGCACCACGCAGCAGCATATCCTCTGCCACAGCCCACAAGGTACAAAACAGCCCCAGGGTACAACAAGAGAAGTTCTTGAAAGAGCTGCTGAGAAGATGTTATTTACCAACCCCATTAAAAAAAAAAAAAAGAAATGAAAAAAAGCAGACCTCATCAAATAAAACAGCTCTGAGACTAAACTGATCCCTAGAAGTCCTCCAAAATACCCTCCTCACAATGAATATTAAATAGCATTAATACACACAAATTGGCAGAATAAGTGAAGTGTGGGTTCTGCCCTGCATCTGTAATGCTGGCAGCCCTGTGCATGGGGAAAATAAGCACACTCAGAGAGCAGCTCTCTTCACTGCACTTCGCATTGCCATGCAAAGTACCTAGAAATACTGCTGAACCACTGTGGTTTGAGTAAACAAACAGTTCCAGTTTAGTATAAAGCAGAACGATAAAATATAATGAAAAATGAGATCTTCACCAGACCATAAGTAATTGTTTCTGACATGGTGTTGAAGAATGAACTGTCCATGTACGAGAACAATGGCAGGACAAACAGCAAACTGCAAGAGCTTTTACACATGAGTATATTAAAATTACACACACTCATATGTATACACAGAGATTTCACTGACAAAATTGCTGTTCCTTTGAAGCCACAATGGTGGAATGACTAAACTCACAGACAAGTACTCAGGTGCTTGGCTTCACCTGCTCAGGCAGCCCTAGCAGAGGAAAGGGATTAGCAACCAGTAACAGCTTAAGCAGATGCAGGATGAGCTCCCAGACAGCAAAGCTGCTATTAATTTTGAGGAAGGCTGTTTCCATGGTTTCTTCAAAAATATTCCAGGTAACATCAAACCACTAGCTCATACTGTTTCAGTGATATTCCCCCTGCTGATGGTGATGGTGCAATAAAAATCCTTGCCCTAGCATGCCTGTCTTTCAAACAGAGTTTCCCATCCATGTCAGGGAGCCATAGGTTGAGCTCACTGTGCTCTGCCATTTTGGAGAAGAGGTGGGTGAAGGTCCCCAGGTCACCATGGCTGGGCTGGTGCCCATTAGCCAGGGAAATGGCTCAAGGTATACTGCATCACTAGAGCCCTAAAACTTCCCATTTGCCAGTCCAGGATGCAGAGTCACCAGTTTAAACCCTTTGCTCCTGCCACATTCATTCATCAACACTCTGGAAAGACTCTGTGGACTCCAAGGGCCTGCCCAGACACTCATAACATGGGTTTCCATGAGGAAACCTCACCTAGAAGGGTGTGAGTACACAGTACCTGCCTGAGTGCACAAACCACCAACTATGGACTCTGCTGGAATACCACTTCGCAAGGGATAATGAAATAGTCCTGAGGGTGCAGAGGGGGTGAGTGTGACCACACACAAAAATGGGGTAAGAGGTCTCATCTAAAAGGCTATGGCCTTACATCATTCAGTGACTAACATTAAGCAATACTATTACAAAATATTAGAAACTATGGCTAACATAATCTGATTTTTAAATGTAATGGCTTACAATGAAAGCAATTTGTCTGCAGTATAAACTAATGTGGACTAGAGCAGGCACAAATCAAGATGGTGGCTGGTCCCCAGGGCATAAAACAACCTGGAGCAGTTAGCCATGAAAACCATATTCAAGGAGTAGTGGGATTTTTCTCTTGAAATACAGTATGGATAAACTAAACAACAGAAAGAGGAATTTTTAAGGGAAAAAGGTGTGTGTTTGGCAGTACATCAAAAGATACAAACTGCCAGTAATAGTGTCAGGCTGGAAGTGAGAGGACAATATGCAGCCACCAGAGTCTCTGGAGCAGTCCCTCAGCCTGGACAATGGGCAAGACAACATGCTGAAGTGGGCTTGGTAGACATGCGAATGGGAAAATGTGAAGTGACAGACAGAAATAATGGGAAACTATACTTGATGGCTCAGGAGGGCTTGGTTTCTATTTGCGCATCTGCACGCAGACAAAGTTCATCCTGAAATATGCTTTTTTTTCATGGTGCTGATGCCAGGTGACATCAATGAACAGTGCTTTCATCCTTGCTGTCTCTGCAAGAGGTTTATTCCCATCCTCACATGTGTCTCAGCCTTGGTTTCACAGCTTTTTATTAATGCCACCAGAACTGTAGCTATGTAAAGTTAATAGAACCCAAAACTCAAAATGGTTATAAATATAACAAAATAAAATGCTCTTCTACAACTACATTTTTCTCTCTGAAGACATATTACAGAATGACCCATGAAGTACCATGGAAACCCTCTAGACACTACACTGATGGGGGTTCTGTAAAAGCCTATATAAAATCTGTACAATCCTGATTAGATATGCATATACAGAAGGGAGATGTTAATAATATGTATGAGAGCCTCTGCAAGGAAACACTGTGAATTGCTTCATGTAGTGCCTTCTGAAGTTTATTCTCTGCTGTAAATCTAAATGGGA